GGTTTAGCTGCAGGCTATGGAAGGGGCTTGCCGTTGTCTGGGGCTGATTCAGTCGATGGTTAATGTATCCTCTTTGTGTAAAAGACAATAAATCATCTTTTAATGTAGTTAATTTGCTTTGAAATTTACTAATGTTTTCCATTTGTTTTTCTTGCCACTGTTGTTGGCTTTCCTGTAACTGTTGTAGATTTTCTTCCGGTTTGCTTTCTTGTTCCAGTTGCCACTGTTTAATCTCTCTTCTTGTTTCTTTTCCTTTTTCCTCAAACAACTGTTGTAATATCTCTTTTTCTTTCTTTTCTCGTTCTTCTTGTTTCTTTTCTTTTTCCTCCAACCACTGCTGTAATTTTTCTTTGTGTTTCTTTTCTCGCTCTTCTTGTTTCTTTTTTTTTTTTCCTCCAACAACTGCAGTAATCTCTCTTCTTGTTTATTTTGCTGTTCGGTCTGTCACTGTTGCAGGTTTTCTTGCAACTGCTGTTGTCTATCTTCTTGCTTATTTTTTCGTTCTTTTTGTTTCTTTTGCTGTTTTTGTATTGTTGCCATCAAATCTGCTAAGCTGTAGTTTGATTTGCCACCTCTGGTTTCCATCTTCTTCTTCTTTTTTTTATCTTTTCTTTCCTGTCCCACTCTCTGACAGGAATTGTTATGTCTCTGACCGTTTGTTAGTTTCCCGTAAAAATTCTTTCCGAAAAACTTCATTGATACAAGTCCTTTCATAAATAAAACTAGTTTATTCTTTCTCAATACAACTTTGCAATAAACTTATTTTCCACAGTTACGTTAATTTAAACATACGCTATAATTCACAACGATTCACGCATTTTACTAACGGTCACTACCGCTCACTTGAATCAATTATCTGTCTGCATATCTCTCCTCAATCTGCTATCATATCTCCACTTTAAAATAGAGGGCGTCTGGCAAACACTCGAGCCTTTATAATCGTTCTGGAAACTCATCACGTGTTACCAGGGTCACTTAACTTCCGCTGTCGTAACACTATTTTATTCAAATATCGTTTGTGAAGATAGGGGTGTATAAGTCTCCGGAAATTCTGACTGCATAATTTGCTCGCATTCTAACTGAGTGTAAAGCTGATGAAAACAAACTTGAACGAAGTTATACGGGTATATTGTTGCTTATATCATTTCTGCTGTATCAGTTCGCTGCGTAGCTTACTCAGCATATTTTTATTACGAGGATGTAAAAACATTATAAATATGCTTATGTAGCCTTGTATTGTACAATTAATATTAATTTAACTTGAATTTTTGTATGACAGGCGAGTTAACTTTGAAATTTTAGTTAGAACATATCTGACACGCTTTCAGTATTACCATCCAAATAACGTAAAAGTAAAAGTTAATCGCTGGTGTTCTATCGTCAACTTTTACTTTAGTTCTAGTGGTTTTGAAAAAAAACAACAACAAAAAACTTAACGACGTTAATAACAGTAATATGTTAATCCTATAAGTTATATCTAACAAAACATGCAACGCACAGAAATGAAGCGAACGGGTGGCTTTTTTAAAGATATGTTTGAAGGTCTCAAGTCATCTGTAGGCCTAAGTCAGTCTGTGAAATATGAAAGTGAAATTGAAGAGACGTTACAAAAAGAACATTTTCAAGCGTTAAAGGTAAGTTGACTGATGAGTGATATTTATCTAAACAAAACGAAAAAAATTAATGTATTGAAGTTACAAGGTTTTGTAAAGTAGTCAATGACAAACACAATACTCAAATTATCTAAGTTTTATAACTTAAGTTAGATCAGTAAACAGGTATGTACCTCGTCATTCAGGTTACTGCTTCTTTCATTTTCCAAAATTAGATAGTCTTAAGTAAAATTTTAAATATTCATGTGGGGTTTCAAGTTACTTATTTTTGAAAATATGTCATTCATACAGACAGAAAACAGTGGTGTTGGTGAGTTAAAATGTTTGTGACCAACGTATTGTATCGATAACCATATGATACACACCACTTTGTCATTTGAGACATACTGTCAGAGATTTGCATAAAACTGATTGTTGTTTAAATCGTACATATTTACTTATGGTTGGGAAAACTCATTGACGATAACTTAGGAGCCAGCTGATTGTTGGTTCAACACATTTTTATTTGTCAAGTTGATGAGACACTAACTTCTGATCAGAGCAAGATATTCACTTATAGTGAAATAAAAATCAACTTTGTAACCAGTTTAGCTAATTAAACATTTTTATCTTCATTTCTATTTATAAAGATTAGAATACATTGTTTCGTAAGTTCTGTACCCTCACTATTAACTATTTTTTGGCCATAAACCCATTAATATCTCACAAAATTTAGCCATCTTAGGATATTTAGGTTAGTTCTATTTATATTTAGATAACATTGCAAAACAGTCTTTATAGTAATAATAATAATAAATCCAAAAAATAATAAGATTTAGTATACTAAATAGTATAATAAATACTTTTAATAAAAGTAACGATGAATGAAAAAATATAGTATACCTTACATAGTGAACATAGAAAAATATACATATTTCCTTGTATTTTTCCTCTTTTTCTGCAATTTTCTGATCTTTATAGTAGAGGCAATTGTATCTATTTCTGAACTTTTGTCTTTTAGTTTTCAAGTAATTGAGTTTCATAATTACATAGCTCACCCTCATAGTCCTGTCTGGGGCTAACCCTCATAGACCTGTCTATCCCAAGCCCAGTTTTCTTGCCTTCATCTTACCCTTATGACTCTCCTATGGTACTTGTGCACCATACATTTCCTTTCTGAGGCACTCCACCAATTTCCTGAAGGATTTTGGGGGGATACCTTCTCCCTCATTACATTGTCACTATTGACCTTCTTGACTCTCTCTCTATGTACAGGGTTTCTTTGCTGCTGGGTCTTTCTGGGGAGGGACGCTGTCTTGTCCCAGGTTTGTTTACTGTCCACATACCTTAGGGACTTATGGATGGATCCATTTCTCCAGTGGTTAATTTTTGGCAATATTCCTGGCACTTTGGAATCCTGTATGGAATTGGTGAGGGAACATTCGACCCTTTCGTTCTTGGTTGCTTGTTTGTCTCAGCCTAATCCCTTGCAATCTTCTCTTTCTGTTCTATGTCTGGCACCATCCCTTCCTTTACGTGTTCCTCCCACTATGGGTTCCGCCATTCATCATTTTTAATAATGCAGGTTTCAATCGTCTCATTAGTACCAGTGACTATCCTGTTGGTTCTGGTTGGGTAGGAGCTTATTTGACCAATTTTGTTTCTATACAGTGGGAATTCACTATTGTTCATTGAGTTTTTCAGAAAGACTTGTCATCCAGTTTATTTTCCCACTCCATTATCTCCTGTATCCATATCCTTTGTTACCTCGGTATCCTATTACCAGTCAACATCTGTCGGAGGCAGTACAGATCCTTCTATCACAGAAAGCTATTGAGCCTGTCAGCCATCCTTTCCAAGGCTTTCATTGCAGGCTGTTTGTAGTACCAAAGAAAACCAGAGACTGGTGTCCTGTGGTTGTTCTATCCTGGCTCAATCAATTTCTGGATCTTCCCAGTTTTACAATGGAGACCTTTCTCACACTAAGGTGGGTTTTTATCTTTTAAGTTGTGGATGATCAAGTTAGATATCTCAGTTGCCTATCTACACATTCCTATTTCTCATTGGTGCAGATGCTACCTTTGGTTTGTCCATCACAGGATTGTGTACCAGTTCTACGCTTTGCCTTTTGGGCTTGTTTTGGCTCTGTATGTCTTTTGTCGGGTGGTCAAAGCTTTTGCCTGACTTATGCATGATCAGGGTTGTGCTTCTGTTAGCTCATTCTGAAATCTAGTTTTCACATCACACTTCGCTTTTTCTATCAGAAACTGCTTGAGTGGGTTGGGTTATCAAGTTGGAGAAATCTTTCCTGTTATCTACCCAATACTTTGTCCATTTGGGGATCTTTTTCAACTCCAACCTCAGTCAGGCCCTACTTTCTTGTCTTCAACTCTATTTGATGGAGCTTTCTGTTCTCCATGCCTTTGCTGTTCACAAAGTTCCATTGCTTTTGGGATGTGGGCTTCTATGGAGGCATTTAATCCTTTGGATCAGGAACATATGTTGTCACTTCAGTGAACTCTGCATGACCAATGGAATCTTGTTCAGGATCCCTTGTATTCTCCCATTTAATTTCATTGTTTCCTCATCAACAATCTGCATTTGTGGTTGAACAAGACCCACACATTTTTGGGTCTATCACTTCCTCTTTGCCAGGATTTGCATCTATTCACCAATGCTTTTCGTACATGATTGGGAGGTGTGGGTTGATCAGCATAAAGCTTCCAGATGGTGGTCTATGATCAAGAGGTCTTACCATATCAACACCTTGGAGCTTCTAGCAGTACAATGGGCTTTGGATAATTTTTTGTCCCTCTGATCAGGAATGTACTGATCATGATCCATTCCATCAATTCTACTGTGGTAGCTTGTATCAACCACCAAAGTTGCATCTGTTCTTGATCCCATTGCATTCAAACCTTGGAGCTACTTTTTGGGCCCACATGCTTGAAATATGTCTCCTGGTGTGTCATTTCCAAGTATTTTCAACACTGTAGAAGATTGTCTTTCCAGACCGAACAAAATTTATCCTACAGAGGTTTTCTGGTAGATATTCTCAGAGTGGGGTACTTCACAGCTTGATGCATTTGCCAATTTCCTCAATTCCAAATTACTTCTTTTTTTGGTCTTTCATTCCTCACCCACAAGCCCTAGATTTGATGCTTTCAGTCAGGATTGGACCGATCAATACTTTCATGTTTTTCCTCCCATCTGTCTTCTTCCTTTGGGTTATTTTGACCATCCATGCCACTCTGTGGCAAGTTCTTCTGATTGTTCTTTATTGGCTGGCACAACCCTGGTTTCCTCACTACTTCAACTTTGTACCACCCCTCAGTTGCCTCTTTCTCTCACACCATCCTTTCTACATCAATCTCAGTTACCGGTACTTCATTTTACCCTCCATCTTCACACTTGACATTTGCCAGGCCACTGGAGAGGAATATTTGGATTATCTTGGTGGGTCTCTTCATTTTTAGCTCATTCCATTCGCCCTTCTTCGGTGGCAGTTTTTCAATGTAAATAGAGCATCTTCCACTGGTGGTTATATGTTAGGTTTTTTTTCCCTTCTCAACTTGCCATTCCTGTTATTATGGTCTTATTATGCATGGTCTTTTGCATTTTATTAATCACATTAATGTTATTGTTTAGTTACTAAGTGTTGCTGATGACTTTAAATTCTTGGGTATTTCTAGTTGTACTAAGGATGTTGAGGTATTGGAAAATGATTTGATTATTTGTTAAGCTGGATAAATAATTGACAAATGACCTTTAATTTCAGTCAGTATAAAGTAATGGATTTTGTTTATAATTATATTGATCACATAGATGGTAATAAAATAACTGAATAAACAAATCTTCGTATAGTGGTAGTTAAATTACTCAAGTATCGAGCCATCAAAGCAGTGTTACTTGAAGTAAATTTTTGGATGTATTTATAGACATATAGAGGCCAAAGAGACAGTTATTTCTTTATACTAATTACTAGTTAAGCTTCAACTGGAATTTTGTGTGCAGTTTGGTCTAAGAAAGGATATTGACTTACTGGAAAAGTTAAAGTGGGACAGTTTGGATGATTCTGGAGATAAAAAAAATATGTTATGAGGACAGATTAAGGTATTGTAACTGTTACGACAGCGGAAGTCACGTGATGAGTTTCTAGAAGGATTCTGAAGCCCCGGGTGTTTGCCAGATGCCCTCTATTTTAGTATATAAGCCCGGCAAATGATTACAGATAGAGAGATATAGAGACAGATAATTGAGTCAATCGAGCGGTAGCAACGGGAATATAAAGTGTGTGTTTTGCTATTGAGATTGAAAACGTATTGACTGTGGAAATTAAGTGTATTACAAAGTTTGTAACGAGAAAGAATAAACTAGTTTTAATTAAGAAAGGATTTGTATCACTGAAGTTTCTTGGAAATAATTTTTACGGGAAATTATCAAACAAGCAGATACATAACACTATCGATAAATATAATGTTATTCTACGACCTAACATCAAACCTTTTTTAAAACTTTTATAAGTTTTTAATATTCTGTTGTACAAAATGGTTAGTAAAATATATTTACATTCCCCTTTTGTTGTTACTTGTTTCATACAGCAATTGTAGCGACTGTTTGTCATCGAGTGAATAATGCGCATGCAATAGCTTTTCTTGGGGAAACATTCTAATTACACATGCTTATGCAGCATGTTCTCATTAAATGTTTTTATTCAACTAGAAATAAATCTAAATTTAATTGGAGATTAATGTAGTTTAGAAATAGCATACAGAAAAGGTAAATCTACAAAGAAATTTTATTTAGAATAAAGTTTTATGAGCTTTATTGAAATTATTAATTACTGTATCTTTGGATTGGTTAATAATTTTAAAAGTGTGTGTGTGTGTGTACTATTGATCTCATTCATCATAATTAATGTGTAAACATTATTACAAATAAAGCCAAAACTATTTTTTTGTTATGTACATAAAACTTCCATTCCAAAAACCATCTAGGCAGATAAGATGTAATATAGTTATGTTTCAAAATGTATTCGTCAA